CATTGTTGCTATTTCAAAAATTATTAATAAAGATATGAGCAAGGCCTCACCTTAATACCAAAAAAAAAAAAAAAAAATTAAATACGAGTTGTGTTAATACTCTGTATACATCTTGAGATAATAATTATAAAAAAAATAAATATAATGAAAGGCTATACTTAATTTTATTTACAATTTATGCAGTTATCTTAATTTCATACTTTTTACATTTAATAAAATAAGATCTAGCTTCATATTTATCTTTTATACTCTTCTTTTCCTTATGACTTTGTATATATATTGGGTATAATAACCTCTCATTGATTCTATAATAATTAAAATTTTCACTACTAAATTCTTTATTGTTCAGAGCAAAGTGAAGAACTTATACTTTATGCATTTTGATAACTGAAATTACAATTTTGATGCATCTATAATAAAAAAATCAAAAAAATAGTTTCAGTATTTTCCGCCTGTAATGCTGCGTATTTTATATTTGTACATTGTGTAAAAAAAATTATGCATATTTATGTATTTGTATAAGATAACAATAATAAGCTTCAGACTTAAATTGGTTTTTGGTTTCTAGTATAAGTTAGAATATTGCTACAATATCTTATTATGAAAATAAGCATGATTATGAATTTGTATACTTATCTGAGGTGTAAATAAAATCTTAGTTTCTAGAAAGATATTATTAGCAAATAGACTTTCTAATGAAGCCTCTTTAAAATAAGATACTATAGATATACTTATTTCAATTTTTAATAAACAGCTATGAGATGATAGAGATCATGAGATAGAAGTTGTAATTGATTCATTTACTTTAAAATTATTCCAATTGTGAATTTTATTCACAGTTGAGAGTATATGATTTATAATATTCAGAATTTGAGTATTGGTAAGGTTTGAAATAGCATTTGTACTATATATAACCTGCTTGATTTTAACTATTTCTATACTATTAAAAAGATTATAGATTTTTCTAGCTTTAAGAGTTTTTTGTTGCAGATTCGCTTCTGTAATATCAGAAAGTAGCTGTTTAACTTCTTTATTTACCAAACTCTTTGCTGTTTTAATCTTACCTTTGTTATTAAAAATAAATTCATTAACTCTTTTATCATATTTTTCTATATAACAAGACCAATACAAAATTTGTTTCTGACTAGATTGAATTGCTTTTTGAAACATACAAACTATACTTTGTACTATAACTTGATTATATTAATTTTCTCCATCCAGTAAGTTCTGATTACTAGTTATATTTTTTTTGAAGGTTGAAAAGACAGATAGTTCTTGTTTTAAATCTTGTTCTATAATCTGATTCTTATCAGGCTGAAAAAAATCATAATAGATCTGTAGAATCAAAATTAATAGATGGTTTAGACAATAACAAAGATCTGTCTAGATTTTGATCATGAATTTTATTTACAGTTTTTTCTGATTCTACTGAAGATAAGTCTTGGTCCTGAAACTTTTTTCACTGTTTCTTTCTCTTATCATATTACTAACTCTTTCTTTATCTTTTGAATCTAGGTATTCATTGACTTCCTTATTTTCTAACATTTTAGTCTCTATAATTATAGGTTGATATGTATCAGGATGAGAAGTGTTATCAGATGTGTTTTCTATCTATTCAGAAGAATCAATTTTCTCAAAAGTATTACTTTGTGCTTGTTTTAGATTCATAGAGTTGATGCTATCATCCTTGTCAGATTGATTATTAATAGATGATATAATAGATATCTGTAGAATTATTAATAATGCTGGAGAAACTGAAAACTGTAAAGCATTATTAGTAGTTTAATTTTGGTTTATTATTTGTTTTAGCTTTGTATTTTTAATCTTAAGATTAGCAATTTCTTCTATGATTTGTTTTAATTTGGTATTTTCTACCTCAAGTTTGTCAACTTATTATCTTAATAATTTAAGCTCTGATGAAATGTTTGATAATAATTTTTTTATATAAGTTAGATTTATTTAAATTATTGAGTTGAAAAAATCTCATATATTTCAAGAAAAATTCTCAATTATATAAGGTCTTTGCTATAAATTTTTTTTTTAAAAATAGATTTATTATATTTTTTTTAATAAAAATCTTGTATAACAATAGCTCATAAGGTCATTTTGTTAGCAAAAATTCTATATAATAAAATTGCTTAAGAAAAACTTTTATTAATATACAAAAAGTAGTTTAGTATACAATTTTTTGTAAAATTAGCAATTTTTGTCAAAATAAATGCTTGTTTTAATAGATAATTCTCTAGTAAACTGAAGAATAATCATAGTATAATATAACACAATTCTATATATAAATTACTATAAATATAAAAAAATTTTAGTAATTGTTTTAAAAAACGTTTTCATATTAAGTTAATTACCTTTAAGTCTTTAAATAAAGTTGTAGAGCTCATTGACATAATCTAATAATAGTTAAATCATCAAAATTAGTTTAGTAAATACTAAGATATCTTTAAAAAACTTTTACTATTTATATAAAATTCTTTAAGAACAATACAAAGAATTTTTATATAGTAGAGGTGTGGTGACTTAGTAAAGTGGTCAAGTTGTCACCCCCAAGTAGCACTTTAGAGTTCAATTTCCTCAATAACAAAAAATTGAATTCTTCTATATATTGATGACTATTTCGGGTGTTAGAATATA